AATTAAATGTACCCAAGCATAAGCACACTGCTGTTGCCCTATTTGGGGATGCACTTCAATTGCTATATAACTTCAAGAGTACCCACCCCTAGTTAGGATAAACGACTTTGGTAGGCATTGTGTGTGGCTAGATAGCCAGATAATTCAACCTAATGTACTTTATATTTAAATCCAAAATTAAAACAATCATAAAACAACCTCTCAGAGTAACATCATGCTTCGTTTTGCTTTAATATAGAATTAATGCTGCTTCTTATTTTCAATGCAGTCTCTCATATCTGAGAACTGCTATTCAGTATAGATTGCTTGTGATGTTCAAGATTGGGCAGATAATATTCGCAGATTTCAAAACAACTTGAACGAATTACTCAGTTTCTTTAGAGTTACAAGTGACACCAACCTGCTTTGTCAACTTTGGAGTCAGGCCACTGGCTGAGGTAACTGCCATGTGAACTGCGTCTGCAGGTGGCAGCTTCCCAGGTGATGTGTGCTAAATGGGTGACTGCAGGGCAAAGAGAGTCAGCACTTGGCGTGTTCGTTGGGTGATAGAGCAGCTAGAACCCTCACCCCAGCCCTTCCCAAAGGCCAATCCCCTCTAGTTACTTACATGTGCCTAAAATAGAATTATACACAGGGACAAAAAAAAACCTAAGAAGCACTCATCAAAATTTCAAATATCCAAGTTGGAAAGAAGGTCATCTGTCGATACAAGACCCATTTATCACAAATACATTTGTTTTCTAACAGCAAGTTTCCAGAGCAGTAATCTCACATGTTAAAGTTCTTTTTTATCACTGTGTTAAGATACACATAATGTAAAATTTGCTGCTTGAACCTTCTTTATGTGGGCAGTTCAGGAGTGCTAAGTGCGTTCACGTGGTTATGCAACCACCACCATGATCAATCTCCAGAACTTTTGCATTTGCATAACTTAAACTCTTTCCCCATTAAAGAGCTTCTCGTTGCTCCTCCCCTCCCCCAAGCCTCTGGTAGCCACCAGTCTACTTTCTGTTTCTCTGTTTGTCTTTTTGTGATTGGCATATGTCATTTAACGTAACATCCTCAATGTTTATCCCCACCTTAACATGTGACAGGATTCCTTCTCTTCTAAGGCTGAATAATATTCCATTGTATGTGTATAACATAGCTTGTTTACAACTAGTTTATAGGGGGAGTGATGTTTTTATTACTGATACTAACTTCCTTGACCCTCTGTAGAAAGATCATTGCCCCTAGAAGTCACTGTATTACGATCTAATTTCATTTACTATAACTCTCATTTGAACACACCTGCTTATAATCCAGCCGTCCAACTGCGTCTTTGCCTTGGCTAGGTATAAAGATTATATAAGGCAAATGGAGCAAGAGTTATTAGGACTCTAGAGCAGGCTGAAGCAACTACAGATCTTTGATACTGAATAAAGTATCTTTTATTTTTTAGTTCATTAAGAGACTGTATTAATGAAGACTGTTGGCTGCCCATGATTTAATGCGTATCTCACAGAATCTAGAGAGAATCTATAGGACTGAAAGGGAGGGTTTCCTTCCTTGGGACTGAAAGAGAGTCTAGAATCAGGAATACAAATGCTAGGAGAATTTCTCTCTTATATCTACTTCTGGAGAGCTGTTAGTATCATTCCTCTCTCTATGCATACTAGACTTTTCCGTGTGATAGAAACTATAATGGCTTTAGGAAGTACCTGAGCCTTAACAACAATCAAGGAGTGCATGATATCTTTCAAGGAGTGGGTTGTCCCCAAAACCCACTTTGGTTGTGACAGTGAAGATGTGAATACCCACCCTGCCAGATGGTAGATGTAAGGCCCATGGTGAAAACACACAAGGGATTCTTTATAGAAATCATATTCAGTGTCTGCTTAAACACACACACACACACAATCAGAGCAGAGGATTCTTACACTACATGCCCTGTGAGACTCCTCATTTGCAGTGGACAGTGACTGTTATATTTTTTCTTTTCTGAATGAGAGAGTTTTTGTTTTTTTACTTATTATTTTTAATTTACAAATAAAAAGTTGTATCTATTTATGATGGATAATGTGATTTTTGATATATGTACACATTATAGAATGATCACGTCAAGTTAATTAACATATGTTTAACCTCATATCCTTATCAATTTTTTGAGTATATAATGAAAGCATCTAGAATATTCTTTCTTGAGGGCAGGCATTGTGTGATAGCTGCTTGGGATACCCATATCCTATATGGGAATGCTAGTTCAAATCCTGGCTTCTTGACTTCTGATCCAGCATCCTGCAAATACACCTGGAAAACCACAGATGATGGCTCAAGTACTTGGGCCCCTGCCACACATGTGGGAGACCAGATACAGTGCCTGGCTCCTGGATTTGGTCTGGCCCAGGCCTGGCTGTGTAGCCATTTAGGGAATAAATGAATGAATGAAAAATTTCTCTATCTCTGTCTCTCCTCTCTATGTCAATCTGTCTTACAAATAGATAAATCAATCTTTTTAAAAAGTTTTCCCCTTATATTTTCTTGAGTAGCTTTACAATTTTTTTTTTGACAGGCAGAGTGGACAATGAGAGAGAGAGACAGAGAGAAAGGTCTTCCTTTGCCATTGGTTCACCCTCCAATGGCCGCCGCGGCCCGCGCGGTGCGGCCAGCGCGGTGCGGCCGGCGCACCACGCTGATCCGATGGCAGGAGCCAGGTACTTATCCTGGTCTCCCTTGGGGTGCAGGGCCCAAGCACTTGGGCCATCCTCCACTGCACTCCCTGGCCACAGCAGAGAGCTGGCCTGGAAGAGGGGCAACTGGGACAGAATCCAGCGCCCGATCGGGACTAGAACCCGGTGTGCTGGCGCCGCAGGCGGAGGATTAGCCTAGTGAGCCGCGGCGCCGGCTACAATGTTATTTTAATGTTTGAATCTTTCATCTATTTTAAGTTGATTTCTGTTTGGGGTGAGGTATAGGTTCAATTTTATTTTCTGCAAAGGGGAGTCCAGTTGTCCCAATACCATTTATTAAGAGACTGTCATTTCCCCATTGTGGTCTTGGCACATTTGTCAAACAGGCATAGATTTAGTGTTTAACCATAGGTGCAAAGATTTACTTCTGTACTTTCTATTTTGTTCCATGGTCAGTGTGTCTTTTTTGTACTATTATCCATGCTGTTTTCACTACTATAGCTTTGTAGTAGATTTCGAGATCAAATAATGTGATATCTCCAGCTTTGTTCATTTTGCCCAAAATTTCTGTGGTTGTTCAGATCTTTTGCAGTTTCCTTTAGGAATGTTTATTTTTATGAAAAATATGGAAATATTGATAGACTTTTTGAATATGTAGATTGCTTTGTAGAATCTAATCATTTTTACAGTATTAATCATTTCAGCCCATGAAAATGAATATCTTTCCTTTTTTTATTCTTCAACTTCCTTCATCAATGTTTTATTGTTTTCAGTATATTTCTTTCACTCCCTTGCTTAAAATTATTCCTAAATATGTTTTTAGGCTACTGTAAAGATAATTGCCTTAATTTTTTTTGTTCTGTTAACTGAATGGGAATTTTTATGGCTGTTATCCAAGCCTAGCTGCACCATGTTCTCAGCTAGGACATAACACACAGAACTACCTTGTGGCCTCATCTTCTTCCAGGGTCTCCAATGCTACAACTCTTCATATTTGACTCATCTCAGCATCTGTTCCCTGCCTTTGTTCCCTCCTCTGCTGAAGGAGGACTCAGAACAGGAAGAAAAGTACTATTCCTCCCCTTCTTCCCTTAACCATTTTGATCAAATACAGCTGGTCTACCGCAGATCATTCTTTACTCAGAAAGGTTTCAATCATCATCTTCATGTCAATCAGTGGTTACTGAATTGAATTATAGTTTCTGTTCCCAACATCTTTAGCATGTTAATGCTGTCCTGTAGAGACCTGGCCCTGGTGAGACTCTTGACATTCCAAAACCAATATTAGGTCTCCAACAATGGCCCTGGAATCCTCAAATAGACATTAAATACCTTTGCATTTTCCCCATGCGAACAATAGCAATGGGAGTTTTGCACTGGGGCCTAATGAGGAAGAGAGAGGTGGGGCAGTGCTGGACAACTCAAGATATAGCACCTTCTTGCTCTACTATTTTTAAGAAGGATGAAAAGTTGAAAAGAAACATCACACACTCACTCAATCAGACAATTTGAGAATTCTAAGTTATTTTGTTATGTAACCAGTAATACTAAAGAGGCTTTGAAATCAGACTTCCTAGGTTCATATCATAGGATGGTTTGAGGATTGAATGGACCATCCATGAAAGCCCTCAGCATAGCGTGTAACACAGAATAAATACACAATAAATTTACTACTGTTACTATTATTCTCTCTTACTTCAAAGTATTGGCTAGAATTAGACTCAGGATTAAGAAAACCAAGAAATGAAATCTTGGGGCTGGCTGTGGCATAGCGGGTAAAGCTGCAACCTGTAATGCAAGCATCCCATATGGGTGCTGGTTCGAGTCTCAGCTGCTCCACTTCCAATCCAGCTCTCTGCCAGGGCCTGGGAAAGCAGTTGAAGATGGCCCAAGTCCTTGGGCCCCTGAACCCGCATGGGATACTCAGATGAATCTCTTGACTCCTGACTACAGATCTGTGCAGCTCCAGCCTTTATGAGCAATTGGGGAGTGAAACAGCAGATGGAAGACCTCTCTCTCTGCCTGTCCTTCTCTCTCTGTGTAACTCCGACTTTCAAATAAATAAATACATTTCTAAAGAAGAAGAAGAAGGAGAAGGAGAAGGAGAAGGAGAAGGAGAAGGAGAAGAAGAAGAAGTGAAATCTATGGAAATCTCAAAAGGATTTCTGTATCATTTCCTATCACTAAACTTCACTGATTAAAATAACTTCTATCTGATTTGCATATCCACTCATATGAGCACATAGGTTTTAGGATGCAATGAAAGGTCATTCAATCTTCAAAATGTGCACACTGCTACGATTTGAAGAAGGCTTTTTGGGAGAGATGTACCTCTGTGCCTTGTGTGATGATCTGCTTGAAGAAGTCAGTGGCTAGCCTCTGAATCCTGCTGTTCATACATTTCCAGCCTGACAAATGAGTCAAAAGAGTGATCTCTGTTTTCTTTGTTGGCAGCTACACAGTTTTCATGTCTAGTGGGGAGGCATAGCTGTTCTCTAAGATCAACAGTGATTTGCAAGGACATGTTTGTTTTGACTTTAGTCCTATTGGAATTCTGTAACCTTGGGCTAAAATGACCAGTTCTCAAACATATTCCTTCTGAAGGGCAAAGTCAAGAACCCCCCATCCCCTCTTCTATCCTTGGGGATGGGAACATCAGAAATCAGACAAAGCTTCTGCTCTTTAGGTTCTGAGGACTTCGATCTGTAGGACTTCTCCTAGTGAGACTTTGGCTCACCTGCTCTTCCTTCCATCTGAGGACCATGCCCTATGAGAACTCTGGCCATATTCTACTGGGAAGTCATTTTTATTTCTGCCATTCCTGACATTCAACCATTTTATTTTTCCTTTAGTGGCACCTCTTGGATAACATATTTAACAAACATGTTGCCTACAATGTAAACTAATACAGAAAATTCCCATTTTTATCCTTGTAACATTCTGAAATCCAGAGTTTTAAGTAAATCTGTGTAATAATTACCAAATTTCTGTAAGGCTTACTTAGTGCTGTGAGGTGTTTCATGCACTCGTTTACTCCTCATCATAGCCTTCTGGGTTGTGTTTTATTATTCCCATGCTAAAGGTGGGAAAATCAAAGCACAAAGAGGTAGAGATCAGACTAGGATATGGAGGAGCAGAGAAGGGAATGCAGGTGTCCTGGTTCTTGAACCCAGGCTCCCAACCTCTGCATTAGGCAGAATCCAGGAATGCCCCCGTGGTTCCTGCCCTCATGTAGGGATTGAGATTTGTGACTTCTTTCTAACAAATGGAATGCAGAAGTGATGGGACATCACATCTGGGACTGGCTTCCAAGTGGACTACAAGGTCCATTTGGAACACTCTCTTGCCCTTTCTTGGATGGCTCACCATGGCCGAAGCCAGTTGCCATCTTCTGAAGCAACCTTATAGAGAACTGACTGAACTTGGACACAGATTTATAAGGTCAGCCAAAACTGCATGAGTGAGTCTGGAAGTCAGTCCCTCAGTCCCAATAGCGAGCCATGAGGACATTTCAGCCTTAGGAAAGACCCTGAGCCAAGGCACCAGCTACGTGGGTCTGGATTCCTGATTTGCAGAAACTATGAGTTAATGTTTGTTTGTTTTTAAAAAAAAAACTAAATTTTGGAGTAATTTGTTATATAACAACAGTCCAATCACTAAACCACAACACTAGAGTTTTTTAAATTCATTTTTAAAAGTATTTATTTATTTATTTGAAAGGCAGGGTGTGAGAGAGAGCAAGAAAGAGAAAAAGAAATCTTCTATCACTGGTTTATGCCTGCAGACCAGCACAACAGCCAGGGTTAGGCCAGGCCAAAGCCAGGAGCCAATAACTCCATTTGTAACTCACCACATGGGTGACAGGGGCCCAAATACTTTGGCCATATTCCACTGCATTGGAAGGCACATTGGCAGGGAACTGGATCAGAAGTGGAGCAGCTGGGAAGCAAACCCCATATGAAATGACAGCATCACAGGTAGTGGCTAAACCCACTGTACCACAATACCAGCCTCAAAATTTATTTATTTTAAAATAAGGTATCACCATTAGAAGCTGCATTTTTTTTATTTTTTTAACTTTTATTTAATGAATATAAATTTCCAAAGTACAGCTTATGGATTACATATAATGCCTATAGTTAGTGAGAGCACTTGGCTTTTTGAGATGCTCATGTAGATTACTTACACTAAGTAAGTTCTTGATTCATGTTTAAGCAGGATTATATCTATGAGTTTTTTGATGATTACATTTTTTAAGAATTATCAAAGGTTTTCTGAAATTCTAAATTTATTCACTACTTCGTGTTAGCTATTTTCTCTCAGAAAAATCCGTTTGTCAATTACTGGATTATGTGGAAATTTTTGCTTAATGAAAAGGCACCATGCCCCATGAGCTTGGGCATATAGAAGTGTCACCTATAGGCAATTAACCCAGCCTACCTTTTATATATTTTCTCTTCCATGTTTTTTTTTTCTACTCTATTTTCTCTTTTCTTCTTCATTGTGTAAGAAATCCATTTGCAGTCTTCTTATCATCAGACACAAATTGACATATTCTGATGAGATTTTTTCCTAAACTCCTAAGGAACTGCTAAATTGTTTTCATGGGGAGTTCAGTAACTTTCTCTAAATTTATCAGAATAGCTTAGAAATACAGTAGGACTATAATATGACCTTGTCCATTTAACTTGTACATTTCATGGAAAAATTTAAACATAATGACCTCTACAAAATATTCATTAGTAAAAATAGGGACCAAGTATATATGTACTTAATCTGTGTCATCAGCCTTATTTCTCGAGTTTTTGTCCCATGGTCATGGGAAGGCAGATAGAATCCACTCTGAGGATTTGCCATTAACAACTTTGAGCATTCAGGAATGTCCCCAAGTAAATTAACCTTTACTAATTTGTGATTTGGTCAATGGAAGTTTGGGTACAGGGGAGAGGCACTTTCTTAGCTGGCCATTAGCTCTAGTTCCAGATCTCAACAGAATTCTCGGTGGCAGGCATATTTTAGTGGGAGGACTTCCAAGTTACAGACATGTTCATAAATTCAGGTGATCTTGGGAACATATCTCTATGAGCAAAGGGGAAAAAGTAAACATCTTTTTGTTTGTTTGTTTCTTCTCAAATGTCTTTGGCTGTTCAAGAAGTGCTTTTTCATTTTTAGTTGGCCTTCTGGGAAGAGAATTTTTAATTATTTGAAAATGCTTGGGGCCGGCCCCGTGGCTCACTTGGTTAATCCTCCACCTGCACTGCCGGCATCCCATAAGGGCACCAGGTTCTAGTCCCGGTTGCTCCTCTTCCAGTCCAGCTCTCTGCTCTGGAATGGGAGGGCAATGGAGGATGGTCCAAGTGCTTGGGCCCTGCACCCCATGGGAGACCAGGAGGAAGCACCTGGCTCCTGGCTTTGGTTCGGTGCAGCACTGGCCGTAGCGGCCATTTGGGGAGTGAACCAAAGGAAGGAAGACCTTTCTCTCTCTCTCTGTCTATAACTCTAACTATCAAATAAATTTTAAAAAAAAGAAAATGTTTTTGTCCTGATCTTATTTTGTATAGATACAATGTATTCCTTAGATTAGATGTCTCTCTCTCTCTCTCTCTCTGTGTGTGTGTGTGTGTGTGTGTGTGTGCCAGGCCACATTTGGACAAGACTTTTAGTTTTCTATGTTCTTTCTGATCAGCCTCCTCATTGCCCTTGTGTGACTTTAGATTCAAAGGCTATTTGATTTACCAAAGATACAGAGATGGTTACATTATTTATTCAGAGGTAACCAAGGTGAACATTTTGTGAACCACTATTGATTCTAGGGTCACTGCCAAAATTTCAAATACCATGAGACAGCATTGGAAGATATCCAATGAGAGTTTTTATTTTGGAGCACTGATCCCTAGTTTTATTCGGCAGGAATCATAAGGCAAACAAGGATTGATAAGGGCTAAAAGATTTTTGATGAATAAAGCTCTGGCTTCACAAAAACCAACCCAAGTGAGTAGTCTGTTAAAAGAAGAAACCATTGGTCCCTGAAATTGAGCCAGCCTCCATAGGGCATTACAGCCAGGCCTGACTGTTGGATTATAAGAAGGCATCCACAGCTTCCTAGAAGAGTGTGCCCCATCTACCTCTTGAAATCCTTTACTGTAGGTGGTATCCATTCATTCTGCAAGGATAAGTTACACTTTAATTACCACTCTCTTAAGGTATAATATGATAGTCCCCACTACCCATGCTTTCAGTGACTCATGGCCAACAATGATCCAAAATTGTGATTTCCCTTCACTCTTTTGAAAAGGAGACCATATTTACACAACTTTCATGTTGTTAGAATTGTTCTATTATTAATTACTATTGTTAATCTTTTACTGTGCCTAAGTGATAAATTAAACTTTACCGTTTGTATATATGTGTGCATTGGAAAGATGTATTTACTGAGTTCAGTACTATCTGTAATTTCAGACATCCACTGAAAGTCTAGGAACATATTCCCCACGGGTAGCTGGGGACTAATGTATTTAAATCTACACTTCATTGTGTGTGGAGTGGGAGTTAGATCCTCTGGGCTTCTAAGATGATTGGAATTGATTCTGAATCCCTCAGGGCAAGTGAAAGACCTTGTCATTTCTGTAATCACCACTGCCAACACTATGGCTGGTCCAGCCTGAGAATTCAGATACCTTAACTCTCCGATGAATAAAAAGTGGGCACAGGGGCCAGCACTGTGGCATAGTAGGTTAAGTCTCTGCCTGCAGTGCTGGCATCCCATACGGTGCTAGTCAGAGTCCCAGCTGCTCCACTTCTGATCCAGCTCCCTACTAATGGCCTGGGAAAGCAGTGGAAGATGGCCCAAGGGCTTGGGCCCCTGCACACATGTGGGAGAAATGGAAGAAGCGCCTGGCTCCTAGTTTCAGATTGGCCCAGCTCCAGCTTTTGAGGCCAACTGGGAAGTGAACCAGGGGATGGAAGACCTCTTTCTCTGTCTCTCCCTCTCTGTCTATAACTCTGCCTCTCAAATAAATAAATAAATCTTTTGGAAAAAAAAAAGAAAGAAAAGTGGGCACAGTGAGGTGGGAAAGGTGCATCAAAGGCAACACACTTCATACTTTCACATTGCCTTATTCTCAAATGTCAAATTAAACTAATGTTGGATTAGTACAGCAGTCAATGTGGCCATTCTGGTTGCATGAGTGTGAAAGGCATTGGATAGTTAGAATATTGTTATCTGTCACCTTCTAAAGACTCTGCTGCCTGCCTATAAAAGCAAGCAATCAGGTGAGTCTGAGCTTTATTCTATGATGATTACAGTCCTGAATTTACCTGCTTACAAGGAGGAAAATGGGAATTGGGGGCCCTGGATAAATATAGATGTTTATGATACATCCAACACCACCCATTTTACACCTTAAGATCACTAGATCATTAGAATTTTTCATTTTAACTAAAATTTTATAAGCTTTGACCAATATTTTCCAA